AAACCTTTCTAAAAAAAAGTATTGTTGCACCTGGTAGCTAGCTTTCCTGACACAGAAATGAGAGGTCTGTTCAGCGCTTAAATAGCTGAGAAACAATGGGATAGTGCAAGAAAGTTAACAATTAACAATCTCAGCTTAAATTTTGTAACTGCAGGGAACTGGAAACACAGCTGCCTCTCTCTTCAACAAAATCAGGTCTCCTGGTTAAGGGAAGAATTTTTGTTAACATCTTAGTTTCTGAAAAATAAGCAGCTCCCTGTTAAATGAGTATCATGCAGTTACGGTTTTAACCAGCCTGCTCATGTTTAACTATCTCTGCTCATTTTAAAGGGAGAGGCTGAGAGAGAGGGTAACGAGGCTTTTGAAATGATTTTTACTTTACTTTCTTAAATGAGGGTACAGGGTAAAAAAGGGAGCTGAAGGCATCCGGCTGAAGAGAAGCAGCAGCAGCAAGGAAGATGGGTCTGCTAAGCGTGGATTTGCTGATCACGCTTCAGATTTTGCCGGTCTTTTTCTCCAATTGCCTCTTCCTTGCGCTGTATGACTCGGTGATCCTTCTGAAGCACATGGTGCTGTTCCTGAGCCGGTCCAAGTCCGGGCGCGGTGAGTGGCGAAGGATGCTGACCTCGGAGGGGCTGCGCTGCGTCTGGAACAGCTTCCTCCTGGACGCCTACAAGCAGGTGGGTATCCGGGGATGGGGACTGGCAGGCTGGGGTGGGCACGGTGAGGAACAGCCCTCTGGTCAGCGGAGAAGGGAAGGGAATGACTCGGTGAGGTGCAGACTGTCTCCTGTCTGGTGTTCAGATGGGTGGGAGAGGTGGAAGCTGAAAGGAGCTTCACTTTTTAAGTCCGGGCGAAGGGTTCACGGGATTCGGGAGCTGCTGCCTCCGTTCTGCTAGCAACCCTCTGTGCAGCCATGGCCATGGCTCTTAGGTCAGCTGTGACTCAGTTTCCCCACCAGTACGAATAATAATCTTCACGTTTATAAAGTAAGTATTTTAAGATCTTTGTATAAGAATACTTGTGAAATGCTCTAGGTGTTTTCACAGCGGTTGTTTGCCGTGTGAGATCCTCAGAGATTATACAGACTGCATCTTCAGACAGAGCTCTACATAGATAGGTGTCACCTACGTAACACAGATAGAATTGTTAGTCAAAGATAGAAATGAACCTTTGTCATTACACTGGCATTTTCTGTTACTCATATGTTAATTTTTATATTGAAGGAAGCATCCAGGTCATAGAAAATCTGGGCACAGAGTGAAAGAGTGAACCTCTTTTCTTCATGAAAGTGGTGACAGAGGGACATGTCAAGAGATTAAAAATGAGCTTGACTATCTGAGGGACACCTGTCTGGTGATTTAAGTTAATAAAACCTGTAGCAGTTATGCAACATGTACTTTTTTCCC